CCCCCCTCTAAAGAAAAGACAGAGAGAGAGAGAGGGAGAAATCAGTAATGATAAAGCTGCTGCGGGTCTGCTTGCTTCTCTGGGCCGCTGCGGTGCTGTGTGTTGCTACGGCGGCGCTGGCGATAGATGTGAACGTTGGCCGCGCGACGTGCGGCACGACGATACCGATCGACAGCCAGTGGCTGCTAGATCCCGCGTGGTCGTACCAGCGGCTGGCGCTCGGCTCCTCCTCGCGCGGCACGAACACCGCCGAGACTGATATGTACCTCGGACGCATGCCGATAAGTGCTGCCATGGCGGATGTTCTGCGCACCGAGGCGGGGATGAACCCGCGCAGCGTCGCCGTGTTCGAGCTGGGCCCGCGGCGGCAGCCGGCGGATGACTGCACGGTCTACTGGCGCCCGCTCCAGGCGGCGATGAGCAGCGTGGAGGCAACTGCGGCGCGCGTGCTCATCCTCGACGCGCCGAACACACTCTACGTGTGCGCGCCGTCAACAGAGGTTGAGGTCATTCTCCATTCTGCCCAGACGACATCGGTGCTTCTCCCGGCTGGAACTACATCGGGTGCGGCGCACTCCTTGAGCTTCTCTACGAAAGGCCTGCGCTGGCCGGTAGAGTTCCGCGTCCCATCAAACTGCACGGTCCTTATGCTGCTGCTCGTCAACCGCCAGGGTACTATTCGCGAATGGTACGTCTGGATCCCCGCAACGGTGTACACCGCAGTTATGACACTCCTNGTCGCCGCCGTCGTGGTCTTCTCGCGTGACTTGTCGGCAGGAATGATCGTGGCGCTGGTGGCGCTTCTGTTTTTCGGATACCTGGGCAGCTGCGTGGGCCTTGTGGTGGAGCTCTTGGTGTGGCAGACTGCCCTCGGCCGCATGTTTCCCTTTCCCGACGCTGTCACGCTGTACTGCTGCCTTCCGATTTACTACATGCTACTGTTTGCATTGCTCTTAGTGAGGTTACGTTACCGAGGCATCCTTTTCCATGCCATGCTGAGGCTCTCTGTCTACGGCCTCAACTGCGCACTCTGCTGTGGTTACTGGATCGCCGGGTACATCGTACTGGGCTCCCTGACTCTGCTGCAGTTTCTGCTTTCTAACCTATTTCTGTCGATTGCCTACTCGTACTTCGTCATCACCCTCGAGCGTTCCGGGTTGTGTGGAGAACCACTTTCCAATGCAGTGGGTTTCCTCTGGGTAGCCCCTCTTACACCGTTTGCCCCATGCGCGCTGATGTACTACGATCTGTATGCCATTGAGAAGAACGACCGGCTCGCCCCCGGCACCGCGGCAGCAGTGAAGGAGGCGGTTGCGATGTATAACATATTGACCTCTTTCCCTCTCTTGCTTCTGCAAAATGTGTGGGGCATCGCGCTGCTCGCGGCAGCAACGGCATACCACATGCCGTTTGCTGTTTCTCTCTTTGCGGTAATTCTGCTATCCAGCGTTCACTTTGTGCTGTTGGTCGAACAGTACGGTAAAATGTACCGCCGATGGCGCCACCACAGCGATATTGCGGGTGGAAATGAGCGTGGACCTGCTTCTTCGTGTTCCACTTTCTTTTCATGCTTCTCATGCTGGGGCTTCATGTGGTTGTCGGTGGGACGCTGCGTCCGCAACGGTCGGGAGCGCGCCTCGGCGGAGGCAGATGCCGCAAAGCGACTCTTTGCAACTGTGTCGCCGAGCGGCGAAAGGACTGTGCGCATGTCGCCAGAGTCTGCTCACTACGCGGCTGAGAGGGCGACGCCGATGAGGACGGTAGGGAATGAAATGACGAACATGCGTGTCTCCGCCAGGAGGGGTGACGAGCGCGTGTTGCAGAACGATGACTACTGGCCCACCAGCATTGGTCTCTGAAGCGATGTAGCTTGTAGTGGTAATGGTGGCGGGAACCATAATTGCCTTCCTCCGTGCTTTGTAGATGTGTACTTTTTGCATGCAATCACACTGAATAATATCTCAGGAGTGATACTCCGTGAGGTGGTGAGGGCTTAGCTCAACTCTGTTCCTTTGTAGCTCACACGTTTCTTGTTTTATCTTCTGCTTACATGCATATATGTTTTCTTTTGGTGTGTTATTTCTGCAGGCTACGTCGCCATGTGGGGCTCGTGGCTGGATCAGATTCAGAAGAAGCTCGACGATGTCTCCGGACTAGCGGAGGAGGCTGATGGGAACGTGCAAGAATACGATGGGTGGGAGGAGGACAATGATGAGGAGGGTGACGAAGAGGAGCAGGAGGGGAAAGAGGTGCAAAAGGAAGATGTAGCGAATGGGCGGAGTAAGAGTGGTCACTCCCAGGTGACCGAACTTCAGCAGCACCAGAAGCAGGAACAAAAAAATGAGGGGAATGCGGAGGGACCACTTCCACCGCAACCGCCTGAGCCCCTTGAAGCAGCTTCGCCCATCCCGGATAGTGATGCATCCGAGTGCCGACCAGTACCGCAGAACACAACGCCAATGCCAGCGAGACCCGCATCGCTTGCTGAGAGGACTGCAGAGGAAAATGTGCCTGCGGCGCCGGCACCTCAAAGTGTCCCTGTAGCGGACTCTGTTCAAGGCACTGGAGGGGGGAAGTTAGCCTCCGTGCGCACTTCACCATTGTCGACAATAAGTCCTGTGGAGTTACCCACCGCTGCAGCGATAACCATTCCTGCTGCTGCTGCTGCTGCTTCTGCTGCTGCTGTCGCCACCTTTGCTCTCACTGCCGTCGAACACAGTTCGCCGCTTAGCACCAAGCCACCACCGGCTGGCACACACCAAGACGACGCTGGTGGTGTAGTGGAGGAGGGGCAGTTGCTGCGGTTTCAGCGACAACTAGCGGAGGAGATGGAGGTGTCGCAGCTCCTCCGCGAGGAGAATCAGCGCCTCACCCGCAGTGTGGCAGTACTTGAGAAGGAGGTGGGTGCCCTTCGCCACGCCAAGAAGAACGCAGCCGACCCACAGAAACTCGCGGCAGTGGAACGCGAGGGCGCGGAGCTCGCTACACAGCTTGGCAAGGAGCGGGAGCGCAACAAGTCATTGCAGGAGAAGAAGATGCAGCTTGAGGGGCGCATCACCGCACTGGAGGATAAGATCGTGCAATACGCCGCGAAGGAAGAAGAGTGGCGACAGCGCGTGGAGACGAGTGGTGCAAAATTCCACGCCTCGCAGGAGGAGGTCCAGGAGCTTAGCGCACAGCTGGATGCGCAGGGGGAGGTTGTGCGGGAACTGCAGCAGCAGCTGTCGACCGCGCAGCGCAGCCATGCGGATCTCGAGGCGTCATACCACCAGGAGCTCTCGCGCCACAAGAGTGAGATGAACCACGAGAGAGAGAATATATCGGATACACTGGAGACTTTGCGTCGGGAGAAGGAGAGTTTGGTGGCGTCGCTGCAGCGCAGCCAGACAGCCTACGAGCGGCGCCTGCAGGAAGTGGAGGACAAACTCGTTCTGGCGAATCGACGCGCCGACAATGCCGAGACGCGGCTGACGGATCACGAGCGTGGCTCGCTGGGACCGTTGCGGGAGCTGCGCACCACCATGGACGATATGGAGCGGCAGAAGAAGCTTTTGCTGGAGGAGATCGAGTATGCCACGGAGGAGTGCGCCGCGCTGAGGCGCAGCCGCGCAGCCGACAGCGAGAGCTTCGCGCAGCGGCTAGCCAACGCGCGGAATGAGCTGCAGGCGGCGCGGGACGAGAAGAGCGCTGTTGAGCAGGAGCTGTTGCACTGGAAGGGGCGACACGCTCAGCTGCAGAAGGCACTCGATGTCGCTCTTGAGCGGGCCTCCCGCGCGGAGGCGCTGAGCGAGCAACTCTCAGTCGCCGTGGAGGAGGCAAGGCGGCGAGTGGACAATATTAGCGGCAGCGGCAGTAGTAGTAAGAAGCCTAACAACAACAACAACAATGTCACGCCAAAACCCTCTTTGCATGTAGAGGAAGAGGTCGCTGTGGGGGTTCTGTCGCCATCACTTGACATGAGCGGCAGCCACACGCGACTCGCTCTCTTTCAGGTTGAGAGCAGCGAGACGTCTGCTGATGTGTGTCGCGGTGGCCGTGGGCGTGTGGAGCGTGAGCTGGTGCGGCAAGCCGTTGAGATTGAGCGTCTTCGTCGTGTGGAGACGGAGGCGGCGGCAACACAGCAGAAACTGGCAACCCTCGTCGCTCAGCACGACCTCCTCATGCAGATGTACGGCCAGCTTCAAGAGGAGCTTCAACAACAACAGCAACAGCTGCAACAGAACCAGCGTACATTGTAGCCGCATGACTGTTTTTTTTT